GGCAGCTGACATTGGTTGGGTGCTTATGATGCGCAAAGCACTGTTCTAGGTAACTTACCTGTACCCAGTTTAACCCTCTGGGGTAGCTACCATAACTAACCCCATTGTACACACTAGGAAACTAGGGCCTGAGGTCACATAGCTAATTAAGGGGATTAGAGGTAGGATTGGCATGTGGTCCTTGGAAGTCTGGCTGCTGAGCCCAGACTCATAATCACAAGGCTATGAAATATTAACTCATTTTTGTTTTGTTTTTTAAGGAGAAAAAAAGTGATCAGCATCTTAACTAATCAGTCTCCTAAGAGTTGTGAGAGTTAAAATGTAAGCAAGAGGGAGGGGGAAAGACTGTGTAGTGCAAACAGGCCTGTACCCATTCCTGTGCTGTACTTCAGAATAAAAATCACCACATGTCAAAACAGCACACTGCTTTCTGTTATAAAGTATGGAATTGAATAGGAAAATAACTTTGGATTTTAATTAAACTTAGAGCTAAAGGAAACACAAAATAGTTTTTAATTTGTTAGATATTTTTTTAATAAGAATTATAAAAGACCAAAAATATTTCTTTGCAAACCACCTTTCTAAAAACACTGATTTGCTTTTAAAAAAATATTTCTTTAAATGTTTTTATTGATTGGGGAGAGAGAGAGAGAGAGAGAGAGAGAGAGAGAGAGAGAGAGAAGTATGTTTGTTGTTCCACATATTCATGCACTCATTGGTTGATTCCTATATGTAACCTGACCAGGAATCGAACCTACAATCTTGATGCATCAGGATGATGCTCTAACCAACAGAGCTACCTGGCAAGAGCACAGATGATTTGCTTTTAATTACAAATACTGTGTAAGATGATGCCTTTCTTTGCAAAATCAATAAATACAAATTTTAAACATGTGGTTTGTCCAAGATATTTAAAAAGAGCCTGATTTTTTCCAGTATTTTAAAAAAATCAATATACCCTAACCTTTCAAAGAATAAGTTTGAACGTATGACTCAACTGGAGAGAAGAAAAGAGAGATAAACCACCATCTTATACCGCTTTAAATAGCTTCTGATAATTCTTCCTATGTTACCTTTCCTTTCTGGAACTCTTATCTTCAAAAAATAGATGAATTTAAAATATTTCTAATGAACTGGTTAATGGAAAGAAAAAATATATATGGAACACATATGTATAAACTTTACCAAAACTAATTATGCATTCAAAAGGAGACTAACTTTTAAAAGGTACCAAAAAAAGTGGGAAAAGCCTGAAAACTCAGATTTATTTAATGGAAAAACGAAATTAGTAAATACACACACACACAAATAAACACAAACAGCAGTACTCTGTATTGACTCAAAAAGGGGGAAAGCAGTGGTCCAAGACCACTCTACTTGACTTTTCAGTTAAACGGAAAAACAAAACAAAACACACATACACACACACACACACACACACACACACACACACAATATCTTTCAACAGTATATGTCATCTATAACAAACACAAATTTAGAATAATTTTACAATGCTTCTTTTCTTAATATAAATGATGCCCATTCTGGGTGCGTATATATATTTTTATAATAGATATTGTGCATATATATCTTTTTCTGGGGTTTACTGTTGACTTATTTTAAATATATTAGTGTTACTATAGGCAACTGTTTCCTGCATTTAGCAGCCTTTCCTCTCATTTACCTTCACGTGACTGGCTCCACCTACCAAAAGCCTCAGGTTGCCAGGCAGAAGGGCGCCTATTCTCTGTGAAATTGAAGGCAATGTTTTTAAACACAGGCCGGAACCTGTTTGATTGCCCTTTCATCACAGGGAAAGAGTTACATTGATGCCTACATGGCCATTTTCTGCAAAAAGCTGTGCAACGCCAGCGTCAAAGACTAGACAGTCAGTCTTCCTAATGGCTGTTTCAATGCCCTCATGAATAGATCGAGGAGTGGCTTCCCAAGTCCATCACCGCCTATGACCATTTAGCTCAAGTCGATGAGCAAAACGTTCCGCTCGCTCGGGTGTGCCTAGCAGCTGTACAACCGCAAGGAACTGCCGGGCCTGCCATGCTTCTCCCGTTTCTCCAAGACTGACATGACGTGAAAGCCAAGCAGGCCTGCATCAGCACCCGGCCCGCAGCTACGGGAGGACGGGCATTTGTAGCCAGGGAAAGTATATGGTCTCCCCGCAGCGCGGTGATGGACGGGTGCTGATGCCTCAGAGGAAGCAGGACAGCATCCAAAGAACCTGGCCACTTACAGGAGGCACCGGGCACGTGGAAAGCCAAAACTCAGAGGTCTCCCGGAGTGAGGCAGAGCTATTTCCCATCTAGAAGAGGCACATTTACACGGGAAAAGTCCTGAATCGGCCAATTTCCCCACTGCCAAGTTGAGATCGGATCCCAAGGGGCCTCGGCAGTTTAGACGACCTGAGCTTTGGGCCTGACTGTTACAGACAAGACCACTGTGACACTGAAGAACGGCTGGTAACTCTCAGTCAACGCAGACGGGACACTCAAAGACTGGCCAGGCCATTGCTGGACGCGGTGGTGCCGTCAGGGCGGGCACCCTCTGGGAAGCTGTGTACTTGGAGGTCACTTCTGTGTGTCTGGAGGCTCATTTCTGTGGAGGGAGAGCGCACCTCGGACCCGGCCAGGCTCACACTCCTTGTGTCACTGCCGGGGGACCTGGCCACCGCGGGCAGAGTCGCCGCCTCTGCCCAGTGCAGACGCTAACCCGACACCCTGGGCAGCCACCGCAGCCGCCAACGCCGCCCTGGCTCTCCCCTTGGTTTCCTTCAAGTTTATAATTCTTGTTTGAGTCCCTGTTTGCTTATAGGATTACCCTGTTTTGTCAATAATGATTGCTGGGGAGAGGTGATCTGTTGCCTGGGAGAGGCAGCCACGTGTCCTTGGTGTGGGGTCACTTATCTTTTCCACCAGTGCCCACCTGGGGCCCAGTCCTGCTTTGCTGGCACAGCCCCACACCTCTGCTGTGACAACTAGAGGCCACACTGCCTGCTACTTGGCAACCGCTGGGTCGGGGAGGAACACTGGGACACAGGAGAGTGGTCAGACCTGCCCAGATGTTCCCAGGCAGCTATTTGTTTAACCACCGAGGGCTCCCCACCCTCTTAACCTTGAACTCCCCCCACAGCACTTTTCTTTGATAAGATAAGCCCTTTCCTGAGCTGCTTCCGCCCTAGTTTTCTCCTGCGTTGTTGCTTTGAGTATCTGATCCAGTCTGCTTTCTACTTCTCAGAAATGTCTCGGTTTTCTTTCTTTCTTTTTTTTTTTTCCTGCTGATGGTGGGGGCTGCTCTGGCTTTATTCTTTTTTAAGTCAGGGGATTTTCTTTTCTTTTTTTTTCTTTCTGCTGATGGTGCTCTTTCTTATGTTAGGGGGCTGCTCTGGCTTTATTCTTTTTTAAGTCAGGGGTTCTTAAACTTGAGCCTGCATCAGAATCCCCTGGAGGTCTTGTTAAAGCAGATTTCGGAGTGTGTTTCAGTGCATATGGGGAGGGGCTGGAGAGGTCTGCTTTTCTAATACACTGGTGCCGATGCTGTTGGCCCAGAGAACCACACTTTGAGAACCGCTGCTTTCAAATAGATCTTTCATTCAATGAACCTTTGGAAAACAGGTGTGCACATAGTTTACTGTATTGTTCCAATCTCAGAGTTTTAAGCCAATGCTATTTTCTAAAACCTAGAATTTTGATAATTGAGTAGTAAAAGCTGAGTATTTTAGTATCCAACTAAAATACTAGTTTTAAGGTGATGCATCAGCACACCTCCATGTTTCCTGTCCATTTAAAATTATTCCTAATTTTTATATTACTCCTGAGTGGTCTTAGATCCCTGTGTTTGCCTTCCAGAAGTCAATGTTTTCAAATAGTGCAAATTTTGAGTGAAGAAAGAAAACGCTGGTGTGTGTATGTGGGGAGAACCTTGATATCTTTGCATATATGAATATGTAGTATTTACTGACAGAGAAGAATTTGGATATCTACACATTGTTTCAGAAATCTACATTTCCATAAGAGTAAAAGGCCCCCAAATGCTGTGTATCAGGCCTCGTTCTACCTTGACTTAGGAAATTTAATCATCTCCTGAAACCAAACTACTCACAATTTTCCCAAAGTAGCCACTGGTACCTGAGAAATCTAAACAGAAGGGGGAGGCTAAATATATATTGCTTCCTTTTCTCTTATATCCTGTTTCTCCTTTCACACGTGTACATGCCAGTTTTCAAGATTAAATGCGCATATCCACTTCATACTGTTTTTAGAGAGTGACTCTAAATGCATGAGTGCATTTAGAAGAATTACTTGTATGCATGTATGTGGATCATCAGGACTTAAAATATAACACACACATGAACCTGTCTGGCTTATTTTAACCTTGAGACTTCTCTCCTACCTTTAAAAACAAGATAGCCTTCCTTCTTCTGAGTCTCCTTAACTTAAATATTTCAATGTATTCTGAGGTTATCTTATTCCCACTACCTGTCATTGAGTGCTGAGCTCACACACTGTCTATTTTAAGCTCTAACTACTTTAATTTAAATTTGCAAGCAATTATTAACCCCTTGAATTTGAAATGCATGTTTTTTAAGTGCAAAAATCACACTCAAGTGAATCAGCTTATGTATAAATATAAACAACCTTAGAGTAAAGGAAAGCTAAACGAACCAATCTTGTATTAGCTGTGGTCTGAACATATCACACATATATTTAAAGCTGCAACACTCCTACCATAACCTACCAACTAAAAATACTACCTGTGTGCTTGAGGGTAAGTTATGACTGTCATAAGAACCATAATTTTAAAACTTGATGTTTGTGGGCATAAATCTCAGCTTGGTTTCTGGCTAAGCCATAAAATTAAACAGAAAAAATGTTTTGGAGGCTTCTTTGCATACTGTGATGAGAGCATTTGGCCTGACTCTGAGCGATTAAAGTCACCATCTAATTTTGTTTTTCAGATATAGCTGCGTATGAAGATGTCCCCTAACACAGGATACCAACTAGATGTAGCTACCCTTCAGCATAAGCACTGTTTGATTGCAGTGTAAATACACCAAGACAGACAGATTAAATGGTCACTGATGCATGCGGATTTTCTAGGAGACTAGAAGGAAGAAAAGGTATAAAAACCTCTTGGAGGTCTTTGTGCACTATTTGCATAAAAATAGTATTTATCTTGAGAACTGCCGTGAGCATTAATAGTGGTGGCTTTTTGTTCTGCTTTGGTTAGAGAATTTAGAGCACCTAGCTATGGCCTTGGAAAAGGGGCTCAATCTCATGGAACACCAGTGTCCTGACCTGTGAAGTGGAGGTAATAATACTCACCTTTCAGGGTTTTTGTGGCGATTGAATAAGGTAATATGGGTAAGATGCTTAGTAGACACCTGCACATGCCACATGTAGGTACTTCATAAAGAATGGTTAGTATTTTGGAAGGAACTGAATCAAAGCAAGAGAATAATGATTACAAAAGGAGATATAAATTAAGTTTGGACTGATCCCATGTGCCTAATACATTAGACAATGCTCCAAAGAATCATTTCCTGCAAAAATCATATTAAAATATATAACTGAGGAGAGAGAGAGAATGAATATTTATTTGAGTGATCACTTTGTGTTAAGCACTGTCTAGGTATAGTAGCTATCTACTACTGTAGATACCAAATTTAGTGACTTAAACTTATTCTCACAGTTTCTGTGGGGTAGGTAACTGGGCACAGCTCAGGTGGCTCCTCTGCTCCAGTGTCTTTTATAGGTTACAATCAAATTATAGGCCAGTGCTGGGATCTCATCTCAAGGCTCTACTGGGGAAGGATTTACTTCTAAGCTAACATAGCTGTTGGCAGAATTCAATTCCTTGTGGGTTGCTGGACTGGTGCTCTCAGTTCCCAGTGGTTGTTGGCTGGGACTGCCCTCAATTCCTTGCTACATGGGCTTTTCTAATGTGGCAGCTTGCTTTTTTAAAATTAACACAAACAAGCCAATGAAGCTGTAGAGAAATTGTGCTAGTTATAGAAGTCCCAGTTTTCTGTAATCTAATCGTAGGAGTGGCATCCATCACGTTTGCTGCACTTCTTTGGTTAGAAGCAACTAATAGGTCCCACCCACACTAAAGGGGAAGAGATTACACAAGGGTGTGAATACCAGGAATCGGGGATCATTGGAGACCATGTTAGAATCTGTCTGCCATAGTAGCTAACATGGAAATAATAGAAATTGTAATTATAGCAAAAAATGAACTGAGTACCGACTCTGTACCATGCACTTCTCTAAGCATTTACACTTATTATTCATTAATCCTCCCAACAATCTTATAAAGTAGAAGTTAATATCCTTGTTTTCATAATGAGGACACTGAAGCACAGAGAGGTTAAGTGATTTGCCTACGGTTGCACAGCTAGTGTGTGGTCAAGATGATATTCTAATCCCAGTGTCCTTATTCTTAACCCCTGTTCTACTTTGCCTTATAACATAAAAGTTATAATTAGTAATTTATTGACAAATTGGTTGATTTTAGTCTATTTCTTATTATATATATATATATTTTAAGGAATTGTCAGATTATTAGTAATATTACATGAAATTAAAATATTCTGAGTAGATGAGATAATGTTTGCACTGCTCAGTCTGTGTTATTTTCCTTCCCTTGTTTTGGCAGCTGAGATGGGCAAAGTAGTATTAGGGTAACATTGCACAGGACAGCTGTTGAATGATTCAAGATTTAACTATCCTAAATAATAAAAGCCTAATATGCAAATTGTTCAACTGGGAGTTCTACGGGGAGTTTGACCACTCGCTATGATGTGCGCTGACCACCAGGGGGCAGCACAGACCATGGTGAGCGTCAGCAATGCGGCACTGGCAGCAGGTGGCAGTGGAGGCGCTGCTGGCCCCAATGGGCCCCGACAAGAGGGGGACCATGGGAGAATGGTGGAGCAGGTGAGTGGGCAGCATCAGGCCAAGGCGGGTGGGAGTGGGAGCCCAATCACCCCGCCCATCGCTCTGCAGACGGCAACCAGTGGTGGGGGGGTGGGGCCACTGCCCGGCTCCCAGGCGCTGAGGGAGCTGGGCAGGGGGCCTGGCCCCCATCGATAGCTCCACAGGCGGGATGGTGGAATAGGTGAGGGGGTGGTGCCAGGCCAAGACAGGGTTCCAGGTGGGGCTGCGGGGCTGCGAGGCTGGGGGTGAGAGGCTGGGGTGTGAGGTGGGGCTGCGAGGCTGGGGGTGCAAGTTGGGGCCCGATTCCCATAGGCCAGCCCAAGGGACCCCACCCGTGCACCGGCCCTCTAGTGTTTCTGTATTACTAGCTTCCTGAGAAACAAAAATGCTCAGAAATATTTGCTGGGAGCAGAACAATATCCTTAGGATCCTGAGATGATATTAGAATTTCTGCTTTAGAGTGGCACCCAAATAATATTTGCATAAGTCATTGGCTTTGGGTGAATGGATTTCAGTGACTGTGTTAAGTGGCATTTGCTTAGGGAGGGATTGTTTTGGTCCCTGTTAGAGCTTAGTTACAATCCTCTGAGTTACCACTTGATAAATTTGATGTATAAAAATTGACCTTTGCATACTATAAAGAGTCCCCTTAGTTTTCTGCCCAGTCTACTCACTTCTGTTATTTTTAGGTCACTTTCATGCTTTTTTCTGTGTAGCCTCTTTCTTACTGAATAACATAGAATGGAGATATCTATATGACTCCAATAGAACATCTCTTCTACTCAATCAAAAGGGTGTGGGTACTCTGAATTGTACTATTTTCTCTTGTAGGACACTTGGTTATTAGACTAGACAGAGGCAATAATATTTTTTATTTTCAGTTAATCTGACTATCTAGTCTACATTTTCATTAATTTTAATAATTGAGAATATAGTGTATACATGCATGTACACATGTGAGGATATTGGTCATGAAGAAGAAAAACAAATTCATTAATTATCTATAATAATAAAAGCATAATATGCTAATTAGACCAGATGTCCTTCCAAATGTCCTTCCTGTTGGACAAAGCCACAGTGGGCGGGGGCTGCAGCAGAGGTGGCAGAGGCCCTTGGCTGCAGCTGCGGCTGCAGTGGTGGCCGGGGGCCGGGGCCAAGGCCCTTGCACAAATTTCGTGCATCGGGCCTCTAGTTCTTTAATAAGTCTGTCTCAATTTTAGACCATTATTGGCTATTAGTAAATAAAACAGTGTGCATTATGTTAAAAAAATAAACTCAGAAATCCTTTTATATGGCACAGTAGATACCTTTGGGGATGATGTTATGGATTGAATTGTGTCCTTCTAAATTCATATAATGAAGCCCTCTCCTCCAAATTCAGAGCGCCTTTAAGGAAATTATTAAAGTTAACTGAGGTCATAAGGGTAGGGCCAATATAACTGGTGTCCTTATTAGAAGAGGACGAGGCAACAGAGATTTCTCTCTAATCTGCTGTCTGTAAGCCAGGAAGAGAGGTCTCACCTGAAACCACCCTGCTGGGGATGTTGATCTTGACTTCTAGCCTCTAATACTGTGAGAAATAAATTTCTGTTATTTATGCCATCCAGTCTGTGGTAGTCTGTTATGGCAGCCCTAACAGACTAATACAGATGCCTATCCAGCTAAACTCTCCATCTCCTACAGGACTGTCCTCATTGCCTACTTTCTCTAAGTTGGTAGCAAGGGAGCCATGCAACCCTGACCCCTGAGCACAGTCATATCCCTGCTGTTCACACTTGATCCAAGCTTGTCCAGCAGATTCATTCTTGTGGGAATTCGAAACAAGGACTTGGAAACTCTAGTTCTAGTTTTGATGACATGACTTAATAGGGAAAGTATTGGAGGCCCGGGCTGTTGTGACATTGTTTATGTTGACCCAGACAAAGTAGGTCTTTTGGGAGAAAGAAAAAAAATAATAAAGCTGATGTTCAGAGAGAAGAAATAAGAATTAAAGAAAATGGTCTCAGAGATTTAGGAGGGACCTTGGTTATGAACTTTTTATAGTTTTGCCTTTCAGTCTCTTGAGACATTCTGCCCAAGTTTTGTACTTGGTTTTCATGAAAGACCTCTGATTCCTTATAAAAACTCCTTTTTACTTCAGCTATCTCTAGGCAGCTTCTGTTTCTTGCAACCTAAGGATTTCTTAATGAGACATATGGGAGCATGTATAATTAAGGCCCAAAGCATGAATTAAGTAGAAATCCCATAATAAACAGAAAGTCAATTCATGAATTTGCTAATCATACCCCTTTGCTGTGAAAATAATAGGAATTTCATTCTTAACCCGTGGCAGTTATAGACCTCTATTTAGTTCAGTGATTTTGATTTCTTGTTCATATTTTACATGATAAGTTTTTCTGAGGAAGAGCCTGTCTGTGATCTATAACAAGGATAGGGAGAATATATTCCATTTATTCATTTTTTAAGCTATTGAGTATGTACTTTGAAGAAGTTCTGGACTTAATCTTGGGCAAACAAATTTGAATTGGACCCCACTTCTATCTTAAGTATTTCATAATACCAGATGGAGATAGACACAAGGCACCCAGGGATGGCCATGCAAACTGCTCATTATGTAACTCCAGTGGGCACATTCAAGTTTACTATGCACAGTGCTCCCTGGGGGTGGGTAATACACACCATTCATAACCGAATGTGAAGCTCTGAAACAGCTAAGCATAAGGCTATGTGATTACTGCTATAAAATGTATGAACAAGTCATGTGGGGCATAAATAATTCTGCCTGGGAGGGGAAGAAGATAAGGAGGTCAGTGAAGTTGATACGGAGGATGAGACATTTAACATCTGAATACAGCATAGAGGACAAGAACATTTCTAGCATGAGGGGAAAACAAAAATAAAGGCCCAGTGACATCCAAAAATGCATGGAGGGAATAGCAGAGTAAGGATGTTTGAAAAGCTGCTCATCCATAAAAGAAATAAGAACATTGATAAAACTGTTAAATCAACTTTCTCAGAACTCTTGAAATTAACTAAAAGCTTGTAACAACCCAAGGGGTGTTTATTCAAGGAAAACAGCGGAATCTCAAAAAAACAGCGAAGCTTGTGACATTTTAACTTGCCCTGATCCCGTCTCCCTCTCCAAGATCTGCTGTAGCCTTGAAAACCAACAGCTTCATAACTATGGTAGCTGTGAAAACCAGTGACGTGCAAACACTGGAGGGGGGGCAGTTTTGGAGCTCCCCAAAAGCTTCATCCCCAGAGAATTGTCACTACTTGATCCAAGCTTGTCCAGCAGATCATCAAAGAGCTCATTCTCAGGGCTTTAATTTTTGTTTTTTTGAGTCAGCGCTCTCTTTGTGTGATGATTCCTACCCATGAGGCAAGTTTAGCTCACAGGATAAAAAAAAAAGTTAATAGACGTATAAAGAAGATATGATACATATATACAATGGAATACTACTCAGCTATAAGATGAAATACTGCCATTTGTAACCACATGGATGGATCTTGAGAATATCATACTAAGCAAAAGAAGTCATATGGAAAAAGACAAGAACTATATGGTTTCACTCATATAAGGGCAAAAAACAGAAAGCAACACATGAACAAACAAAACAAACAAACAAATACAAACCTCATAGACACAGACAACAGTATGGTGTTTAACAGAGGGGTAAAGAGGTGGGGGGAGGTAGAAAAGGGTAAATGGGTCAAATATATGGGGATAGAAGGAGACTTGACTTTAGGTGGTGAACACATAATGCCATATACAGATGATATGTTATAGAGTTGTACATGTAAAACATATAATCTTATTAACCAACTAGAGGCCCAATGCAGGAAATTCATGCAAGAGTACGCCTTCCTTCCCCTGGCTGCTGGCACTGGCTTCCCTATGGCATCCAGGACCCGGGCTTCCCTTCGACTGCAGGCACCCGGGACCCAGGTTTCCCTCCGGCCGCCAGTAGGCACCCAGGATACGGGCTTCCCTCGCAGCCCTGGCTTCATCCAGAATGACGACCAGTCTAATTAGCATATTACGTTTTTATTATTATAGATGTCACATTAATAAATTTAAACAATTTTTTTTTTAAAAAAGGCACTTAATAGAAATTGCTTCTAGGAAGTCCAAATGTTGGTCTTACTAGAGAAATACTCATTATAAATTCAGGGTGGGGCAGAAGTAGATTTACAGTTGTGAGTACGTAAAACACAGAGTTTGTTCTTGTATTATTATTTATTAACTCTTGTATTATTTTTCATACAAACAACTATAAACATACTTTTGTCCCACCTGGTATGTTCAAAGACTATCCCTCATTTAGGATATCACATATTATTATGAGAAATAAAATACACCAAAAAATTCATGAAATAATGAGTTGAACTTTTCTATATTGCAGGATATGTCAGTATCTTTCCTGTGCTAATAAAGAGTGATTATCTAACAGTAGTATATTACAGGCATTTCTCCAAATCCTTTGACTACAGAAATAAAATGTCAGAAAATGTAGCTTATAGGAACAGTATTCTTTACACATAGTTGAGGAAATAGAAATTGAATATAATCTACACTAATAAAAGAGAAATATGCAAATCAACCGAATGGCAGAACCCTTCCCATTGGCTAATCAGCATATCCTTATGCAAATTAACTGTCAGCCAAGATGGCGGCCGGCAGCCAGGCAGCTGGAAGCGAGCAGGGAGGCTCGCTTGCTCCAGTGACTGCAGACTCCAACGTTCCCCGCCTCACTTGCCGGCCTCTGAGTTGCAACTCTAAG